AACAATTAATATTTTAATGCGATCGTTTAAAACCAGCATAAAAAGCGCTTCTGAATAAAAAATAGATCTTATATTGAGTATATATCTAGAATACATTTTGTCTACGCGCATTAAGCACATTAAATGAGTAAAAAACCAAATAGAAAATTGTACAAATTGTAGAAAAAAATTATTGTGAGCAGCCACAGTTCAGTAAACACGATCTGTTATTAAACGAAATAAAATATATTTTGGGTAATTTCGAGATTCAGTGATCCATGTTGTTACTCAGAGTTGTGATTGTAAAGTAAACGAAAATCCGTTATAACAAATACTGTTTATTATTTGTTCACGAGTAGAGCTCATCAAACATTTAAGCTATCCAACAATATTTCACAAATGGTACAATGAACAACTTCAAATAACTGTATTCGAGATGTATTCTTTGGTAGATATGTTGGGAATTTTTAACTGTTTCGAAAACCGTAGCGAATCAACGAAATGATTTCAGAGATTCCTTTGTGTACTAAGCAAATAAAAATTATTTTCTTGAAAAATAAATGTAGTCACAACTACAGTAAGAACTGGTTACACACACTTCACTAAAGCTCTCCTTTCTACTTAGAGGTTTACATCATTAGAACTATACTTTTATAAAAATAAAGTATGTGAATAAAAAACGTGAAAATATGATTTTTCCTTAATCTTTTCGCTCATTTATGTTTTATTATCAATTTAGACTGGACGCTAAAAGAATCATATATTTTTCTCAATAGTTATATTCCTAAAAAGAAGAAATAAAAATTTTATTTGGATATACAGTTGTTACAACATAAATGAGTGCATGTAAAGCCAAAGGGTCTATAGTTAAATCTCAATTATCAACATAATTTTATTCTCATTATTTTTATTTTTTTTAAAAATACCTTTTTGGCCTTATAATAAATCAAAACTATAGTATTTATTTAATTACTGCATATTGCAATGTTTTTATACGTATATTGCATTGTTCAATAATTAACAAACCTTTGGGTCAGCTCTTGACTCTTAACGATTGAAATTTCCAAATAACTGAAACGAGAATTTCTTTAATATAATTTCAAAATGGGGAACTTGAATAAAATTTGTATCAATTGATATGCAAATAAAATAAGCGAGAAAAAAAGATAATATCGTCCCCAGGTAATTTTATAAGTAAATAGTATTTGCTCAAAGGTTTATGCTCATCAGATATTTTTCCTTTGGTCGTAAATGCGAATATATATATATTTACTTTTTATGTTTCATTTGAATTAAATATGAAACGCAGTCTCAAAACAGCTTACTAAAAGATGAAATTTTAAAGAAAAAGAGTACTTATCTATACATATTTGTACACTGTGTATCGTAAGGTTTGAAAAGTACTTTTACGGGGACATTGCACAAATATATATATATATAGACTTCAGTTACATTTCAGCGTTAAATAAATGAAAAGGATAAAAAACACTTAGGTTATTTTCATTCCAAGCTAAGAAATATCCTTATTTTTACCTATTTAGATTTGTATCATCAATCTAAGTGTGTACATTAAAAAAATGCATTTACAATTGAAATTTTTAGCCTTGAGCTTACAAAATACAGCGTTTGTATCCAATTATATGTCAAATAATCGTAATTAAATAATCTATAAATATTAAATTAAATACATTTCTAAAACTAATTTTGCAAACAACATTTTTGAACTAGAGTTAAGTATATGTAGGCCATCAAGACTATATAGTTGTCCTAATTCTTAATAGACTGTGTAGAAGAGCCACACTAACTCAACAGTATAGAATACTATATTCCTTGCTTGAGTTATGTGTTTAATTCTGATACTGTTTGGCACTGGTAAAATAAGATACTGAAACAAAATAGGAGTGTAAAAAACCATTTCCACCCTTAAAAAAAAAATAGCATCAATTCTTTAAACAGTTTTAGAAAAAAAAAAGTTACTTAAATCACATTTGAAAAATATGATCTTCCGATTTCTATATATCTTAAAAACAAAAATTTAATATTCAATTAATGTTACTTTTACATTGGGCGTCTAATAAAAATCACATAAATTTAGTTTTTTTTGTTTATTGATCGCTTTGATAAAAATTAAATAACTATAATAGTATTAATGAAATTTTCAATGATGGATTTCATTCACAAGAAATACATTTTGGCTTTTTTTAAAGAGTTTTGAAAAAACTTACTCTCGTTGAAAAGTGTTCGCTGACCAACTAAATAACATTGAAATCATTTCAACATTAGTAGTGAAATGTGTAATGATATAATCATTTAGTTTAATACGAACCCTTTGGTAAACATACTTTTCTTGGTCATTATAGAATAGAAATTATTATTTTTCCATTTAAAAAAGGTTTTTACTATAAACGTATTTATTTTCTTATGAAATCTTAACAAATGGTTTATAGGATACAGTCTTTCCGGAACATTTCCAAAAGTTGATAAGGAAAAGAATTTTGACACATTTTTTGTTATGCTAAAACCTTACTAACTTAGATATTTATCGGATTTCTAAAAAAGGTATATCGGTAGAAATAAAATTATCTATAGTGTGATTTATTAAAAATACTACCCCCCACTTTTTTGTTAAATAATGATTTTTTCATAAAAATGTACAGATTTACAATTTTATTTATTTATACGAATAACTATATATATATATTTATATTTATACCAAGTTTAGTGTAAGAAAAAAATATTTATAAGAGTAAATTTGAGAGGTAACTTTGAAAATTTAAACAGACGCTTACTATTATTTTTTTACTAATAAATGGAAAATGGTCTAAACAAAATGTTGACTTGTCGATAACCAGTTTTGTATAATTACTTTTTGAGTTTATATAATATTTAGTTATAGGCGAGAAGGTTGAAAACGTAGAAGAATTAATTATTTTATTATANTACTTTTTGAGTTTATATAATATTTAGTTATAGGCGAGAAGGTTGAAAACGTAGAAGAATTAATTATTTTATTATATTTTCTATTTTTTGGATATTATCGTATTTGATAATAAAAATAAAAATTTTCTCATTTTTTTAGTTTCAAGTATTTATGTCTGCAACTAGATATAATTCAGGTTCATTTGATGTGTAAATCAACAAAATTGGTCATTAGGGCTTAACGTGTAACCCGACAGATAAAATAGATACTTATCATAGTAAAATCAATAACTTCTCAGCTATTCATTGAAGGTCAACAATTTGTGTTATTTCTTTTTGCTACTCAGTTATTTTGTCGCTACATTAATCGTAACTGTAAAATATTTTTTCTGGGTAATTGGATAGGTAATCATTTTTTTATTTTTTAAGAATTATTACTCAAAAGGAAAACTCGTTTGATACATGAAATTTATATCAATTGACATGCATAAGTTATTATTTTTTTGAACATATTGAGATTTCGTTATTATAAAATATTGAAAATTTATAATAAACTTGTTGACATACTTTTGCTTTTCACAGTTCACGTTAAATCTCTGACATTTATCAAGAATCACGTACAAAATATTTTCGGAATATGTTTGACGTTGATATACAATGATTTTTTAAACTAATAGATATTATTGAGATAATTAATATAACAATTTGTACCACTACAATTTAGAATATTTATTATTATTATTATTATATATTTTAACTATATTACAGTTATACTTTACTAAATTACAGTGATTTCGCTTCTATGTAATATTATTAAGTAGCCACGTTCTTCCTATTTTTGGAAACACGTAGGCTGTCATCATATTCGCGTGTTTCACGTACATTTGTAAATAGAGAAAATATATTTTCATTAGAAAAAATCATTTGACAGTTCAGTCGTTAAGTATATTGAGGTGTACTTAGTTAATATCATTAGTAGTTCAATACGTTTTTCCTTCGTCAATATTTTGATACTCGTAACTTTTTTCTTCGTGTTGATTGAGTAGACACGTTTAGTAACTTCTCTAGAGTTCTATTGTTAATAATCATATTTATTTAATCAAGTCGAAGAGACACAGAAAAACATTTCATTATTTTTTAATAGCACTTAGGAAAAAAATACCAGAAATTTAAATTTATATTAATCCTTTTAATATTTTGCAAAATAGTGTGTGGATTTTTAACCAGATTATTAGACACATATAAAAGTGGATAGAGTAATCATAAAGTCAAAAATTTGAAAATTAAATTATTGTCTCGTGAGTCCAATACAAAACTTGAATGCTAAAATGCTCTACTAATTACGTTGAGATATTAATAGTTTCACTTTTTCACACGATTCAAAATAATAAATTATTCATAAGGCACTTACAATTTTTTATTTTTACCTCTAATGGCAAGAACGCACACTTAACGTATACTTTGCACGTCAAATTAAATAAAACATTTTATCCCGTCGACAGTAGTCATCAACGACCGTATAAGCTCATCGTGATTCAGTAGCTGTTTTACAAATTAATATGATTTTTCTTAGCTAAACAACACGTTGACTAACAACGAGATGCGATTACACAGACATCAAACAAAAATCATAATTTTATTGAGATCCGACTGGGCACGCGATAACGAAACACGTCGACTTGAATGAATCGTACAAATGACATCCTAATAATTATTAGAACAAGTCTATTGTTACTATTAATTACTTTGTCACTTCTTCGTCGCGCTATCCGATAAAATGACTTGAATATTAATTACACGATCATTTGCGAAGTCGTTTAATCGCGTGAATTACAATTTACAAATCAATACATTATAGTTTTATGAAGTCAAAGTTTTTTAAAACAGTACGGATGGTACAGGTACAAAATACCGACAGCGATTACTCAGCGGGTGATGGTATTGTTGTGTGTTTATTGGTATAAAAAATAAATTCAACCAATGTATTACAATGACCGACCGGTGCGGTCTTCATCGGTGGCGACCCCCTCCCTCTCACCATCTTCATCTGGCTCGGTTTACCGGCCCCGTTGTCGCCCAAGCAAAGTGTTCAGTCTCGTCCGATAGCGTGTTTGAGGTGGTCACGTGCCGTCGCCGTCGCTCATCGTTCGCAACGTGCTTTTGTCGCGAGTTTGTTCGTGTTTCACGTGCCAATTTGTTATTGTGTTGTTTTCCGAGTGCGTCGCTGTTTTTTAAGTTTAGTCATAGAATTTGTTGAAAATAACCTAAAAGTTAGTCTGTTATTTTTTTATCCACATAAGAGCGCATGTTTGACGGTGCGAGAGTTGTTTCTTAATTGTTTATGTTTGAACCACCGCGGCTACCGAAATGAACAGCGGCCGCGTGGCCAAACGGCTGCTGGCCCTTGTGCTGGTACTCGGTACGGTGGCCACGTTAGGTCTTTACTACAATGGATCGCCTCTTAGTCGACTGGACGAAAGGCCAAGGGCGTCGGTCGATTGGCCACCACCTCCTCAAGCCCAACGAGCCGAGTCTTTTGAACCATCCGACGGCACTAACGCTCATGGAGCGGCAAGACTCAAAAGCAGGTTCGGACAACTTCAGCAACTGTTGTCGGCCTCCGTAAACAGAGACACGTGCCCCGAATTGGGATACGCTGAGACTAACATAGACACTGTCACGCAATTCTCCAAGTTCGAATTCCAGGTGAATAACTTACAAAAATATTTAATATCTTTTTAACATACTTTGTAAATTAAATAAGTGATGAGATAAACTCTTACAATTATAATCATATCATTTACATGTATTATTGGTTGACATAAAATACAAATATTGATATTGAACCAAACTTTTGAAAACAACACTTGAACTCGAAACATAACCCAAATTTCAGTATTTAATTTTTTATGTAATCTTACGACCAAAATATATGTGGGGGATCGATACATGCCATTTTTGATTTGAGCGATATTTTCTACCACAAATGTAAATCACACAAATATTTTAGAAGACTAAAACAAAATTTGTAAAATATTCTAAAAGAAAAAATTACTTTACAATTATACTATTCGTTTACATTTACCTCACTTCATCTTACTTAACTATATGGATTTTGTTAACAACTATAAACTGATTTTTCAAAAGGACAAAGCATTTTTTGGCAGTTCTTAATAATTTCTAATAAATATTGCAGAATTNGATATTAATAAGGAACCAGCAGATCAAGTAGCTTTTGGAATAAAACACCAATTTTTTTAAAATTAAACACTATCTAAAGATTTGCATCGAAGCGTTTATTTTTGATAGTGATTTTAATCACTGTCAGATATCATTTACTTGATCCAACTATGCCACGTCACCACTGTGCCGCGACCTCCCTGTGCTGGGTTTTTTTTTTAAACTTATAACTAATTATTTTAATATTTTTATTTATCTTTTTATTTACTACAAGTATTTATGAAAAATTAGCGATATACTTAGTAATGATTAAATATATGTTAATAATTGTTCTTCTTCCTTAAAGCTCTGATTTGAATAATCGTATCTTAATCCAAACTCGAAATAAAAAACTGAAATACCATAGACAATCTTGTTTTTTAAATCATCTTGGTCGGGATTAATAAATTCATTATCCTTTAATTCCTTACCATNGGTCGGGATTAATAAATTCATTATCCTTTAATTCCTTACCATCAACTCCACATAGGCTATTAACAAATCTAGCAATAATAGCATCTACACCGACATCAGGAGAAACAACGTGTGTATTTTTAAATTCCTCAAGAGTATTGTCAAATTTTACAATATCGATTATACTATTAAACTTATTATCTATATTATGCATATTACAATTTTTTATTACAGTGTTATCATCTATAAATGTTTTGAATTTTTCAAGATTTTCAAGCACAGCTTTTTCCTCAAAGTTAAAAAACTTAAGGCCGTTTATCATATGGACTATCAAAAAATTATTAGAACAAGTCTATTGTTACTATTAATTACTTTGTCACTTCTTCGTCGCGCTATCCGATAAAATGACTTGAATATTAATTACACGATCATTTGCGAAGTCGTTTAATCGCGTGAATTACAATTTACAAATCAATACATTATAGTTTTATGAAGTCAAAGTTTTTTAAAACAGTACGGATGGTACAGGTACAAAATACCGACAGCGATTACTCAGCGGGTGATGGTATTGTTGTGTGTTTATTGGTATAAAAAATAAATTCAACCAATGTATTACAATGACCGACCGGTGCGGTCTTCATCGGTGGCGACCCCCTCCCTCTCACCATCTTCATCTGGCTCGGTTTACCGGCCCCGTTGTCGCCCAAGCAAAGTGTTCAGTCTCGTCCGATAGCGTGTTTGAGGTGGTCACGTGCCGTCGCCGTCGCTCATCGTTCGCAACGTGCTTTTGTCGCGAGTTTGTTCGTGTTTCACGTGCCAATTTGTTATTGTGTTGTTTTCCGAGTGCGTCGCTGTTTTTTAAGTTTAGTCATAGAATTTGTTGAAAATAACCTAAAAGTTAGTCTGTTATTTTTTTATCCACATAAGAGCGCATGTTTGACGGTGCGAGAGTTGTTTCTTAATTGTTTATGTTTGAACCACCGCGGCTACCGAAATGAACAGCGGCCGCGTGGCCAAACGGCTGCTGGCCCTTGTGCTGGTACTCGGTACGGTGGCCACGTTAGGTCTTTACTACAATGGATCGCCTCTTAGTCGACTGGACGAAAGGCCAAGGGCGTCGGTCGATTGGCCACCACCTCCTCAAGCCCAACGAGCCGAGTCTTTTGAACCATCCGACGGCACTAACGCTCATGGAGCGGCAAGACTCAAAAGCAGGTTCGGACAACTTCAGCAACTGTTGTCGGCCTCCGTAAACAGAGACACGTGCCCCGAATTGGGATACGCTGAGACTAACATAGACACTGTCACGCAATTCTCCAAGTTCGAATTCCAGGTGAATAACTTACAAAAATATTTAATATCTTTTTAACATACTTTGTAAATTAAATAAGTGATGAGATAAACTCTTACAATTATAATCATATCATTTACATGTATTATTGGTTGACATAAAATACAAATATTGATATTGAACCAAACTTTTGAAAACAACACTTGAACTCGAAACATAACCCAAATTTCAGTATTTAATTTTTTATGTAATCTTACGACCAAAATATATGTGGGGGATCGATACATGCCATTTTTGATTTGAGCGATATTTTCTACCACAAATGTAAATCACACAAATATTTTAGAAGACTAAAACAAAATTTGTAAAATATTCTAAAAGAAAAAATTACTTTACAATTATACTATTCGTTTACATTTACCTCACTTCATCTTACTTAACTATATGGATTTTGTTAACAACTATAAACTGATTTTTCAAAAGGACAAAGCATTTTTTGGCAGTTCTTAATAATTTCTAATAAATATTGCAGAATTAAAAAAAAGACATTAACCGTTTAAGTATAGTTTATATTCACTGATTTTGAAATTGTAAAACACGTTTAATTCATCTGTCAAAATATCCTACAACAGAAAATGTATTTTTGTTGGGTAAAATTGTTTTGAATACAACTAATCGGTGCTAATACAAATATTTTATTTATTTTTATTATTTTTCAACTTAAACAAATGATTAATTTAATTTACTGCAAAATAATCTTGTTTGTGAGCTAAGTTTTAAACTAAATTTTTTATAAAAAATATTTAACCGCCGAAAGAGTTCTGTATTATAATTTGTACGTAAGAACTTCAAAGACATATCCGAAATAGTCACTGCTGCTTAAAAAAGTACATTGTTACTAACTTGATAAACAAAAAGTTATTTTATATCTATAAAAAATATCTATATAAAAAAAAACCTTTTTTTAATAACTTTTATATTACTAGAAGTTTATTTTCAAGGGACTTGAAATAAATCTAAATTTAATGTAATTAATCAATTTTTTTGAAAAAGTTATATATCCAAAAGTATAATTGACTTTGACATTATTACTGTAAGTTTTAATGATATGACGAAATCTGATTTGCATGTTATACACATGTTAAAATTTTAGTTGTTTAATGAGGTTAAATAAACTCGAATGTTTCGTTAAATCACTAATATTATTTTTAATATCATATTTTTTAATATTTCCCGAAAACATAATAGCAGTTTTTTAAAGCTTAAAGGAAAGATCATGTACTAGCCTGTAGGGTATATCGGTGCAAGATAAATTCTGAGAAAAGCATAAGACATTTTTAGCACAAATATGACATAATATTAAATAATAATTTTGGGTAATTTGTTATTGTTAGTAATATTTATTTGATTTCGTACAGTTTTTTTTTTTTTTTTTTTAATGTTTTTTGTGTTCAATAAACAAATAGAATGAGTCAGGTAAATATTTGAAGATCGTCTAAAAAAGAATAATATGCCTGTCGANGTAATATTTATTTGATTTCGTACAGTTTTTTTTTTTTTTTGTTTAATGTTTATTGTGTTCAATAAACAAATAGAATGAGTCAGGTAAATATTTGAAGATCGTCTAAAAAAGAATAATATGCCTGTCGAATTGTAATCGTATTACAGAACTTTAAGTATCATTCGTTCGAGCATTTTTTTAATGGTGAAGACCATATTTAAAATTCTGTAAAACGATGTCGATTATTATTGAAATAAAATCGAAATCAATTTTATTAGATAATTTCTATCTTTATGTAAATATATGTATTATTCATATAAGATTTGACAATAAACATGGTAATTAAATTCTAAAAATGTAACAAAACAAATATGACTTCTTTGTGAGACTATCGAACCTAGATCAACGTATTNTATGACTTCTTTGTGAGACTATCGAACCTAGATCAACGTATTTCATTAATTTTTTTAACCGCTTAGAACAATCAATCCATTGTGTAAAATACCAGTCAATATTTTACAACATATTCTAATATGGCTAATGACTATTATCGATACATTGTACTCTTGTGGAAAAAATCGGAATTGAATAAGTTAGTTTTTAAGAAAAACAGGTTTTTATTTGACCTTTATGAAATAGTTTTGCATTATTTTGTTGCTCGCGTTTTGGGTATTGTTGTGAGTGTGTGACATCCCAAGTTGTTTTATGTCCTGACCGAAAAACGTGCAGACTCGCTGTCTTCACAGATTCAAAAAGGGTCACAAGACCACACGAACAATACCTCGTTCATTTTGATAATAATGTCACTGGAACGTTATGATGGCGCGCACTTGTCTGTGAGGTCGGCAAACACAACGTTGTATGCATAACGGGTGCGCTGAACAGTAAAAGGAAAATCAAATTTTAAGAACGGAAAAAGGTCAAACCCTCCTCCTATCGGATTTATACAATCGGTAATGAAAACGGGATTATAAAGGTTTCCAGGCAGGTGTGGAGGAGCTGAGAAATCACATCGTGCCACCTTAAATTCATAATAAACTATCACTTTATCTATATAAAAACCTTTTTTTTTTTTTTTTAATACGACTATCCGACCGTGATACCGAATTATTCAATTTTAGGGTTTCCGTTTTAAATTTTTTTAAAAAGTACTAATGTACTTTATGTCTTCCGGTCGTCGCATTAACATTCTATAAATCACATAAGTACAAACAAATCGGTAGTAACCTATTTTCACATTTAATTTTATTATTTATTTGTTTTTTTTTTCGTTCCCGCATA